CTCATCCCCTTGTTGCTTCCTCGTGATCAACTTGCTATCGATTGTGCCGATGAAGCAAACACCTTGATTCTTCGTTTCACCTGGACTTCTAATTCTTTCATTTGATACGTCGGGAAGATGGGAATGGTAATTTGAATTCTAGGCTGAGAGGGAACTATTGGAAATTGTTTTTTGATATGTAAGGGGGTATGGGGAGGAGGATGAGTTGCGATTTTAATTTTTGTGGTTGTAGAGTAATTAGGGGGATCTGTAGGGGTATTGATGAGTATTTAAGTTGGAAATTAGAGTAGCAAATTTTTCAGATCTTATATATTTTTAGATGTTTAGATTTTTAGATTTTTAGATTTCTGAATTTTTAGATCTTGAGATTTCTAAATTTCTAAATAACCAAATCTCTGAATTTCAAAATCTCGAAATATGAAAAATACTACACAATAATAATATTTCACATACGTATATGAATGCCAAATAAAAAATCATAAAAAAGGGAAAAAAACTTGTTGGCGAACAGCCCATAACAAAGTTCCAAAACGCGTAATCGAATGAAATTTAAGTCAGTCCTGAGCATTGTCCTCGGCGTCGAATTTAATCCCGCAGATTAATCGCGAGCATCGTCGGGGAGTAATTGTCATTTGGTCGTCGGTGATTGGCAGGTGCAGGGCCTCGATAGGATTAAATTTTAATCGAGCCTCGCACGCCAGGATTAACCACTTAGTTTATCTGTTGTGTCGTTGATTTCGAGGCCGGTTACGAATTGTCGTCGAATCACCCAAGATGGGTTGGTTTTAACTATATTATTTCTTTACGCTTACAAGTTTTGAATACTATGTCCTAACGATACAGGTTTTGGTTCTGCTTTAAAACACAAAAAGTCATGGTTGACCAACCATCACCGCAAGAATCACTTCGGAAGACAATGCTATTTGGTGGGATCAGGTCATCGCGAGCTGAATCACGTAAAAACAGTTAATACCGATCGCTACCGTCAGCGAATAATCAGTTTGAAGCGTGCATTGATCGAAAAGCGTCCAGATCGGAACAACCATCAGGCTAGAAGACACGGAAAAGTGATTTTGCAACACAACGCCGCATCACACACAGAAAACGGTTAAAGGCACAATTTCTGCACTTGGTTGGTACTCTTGCCTCACCCGCCATACCAGACTTGGCCCTTTCGGACTACCACTTTTCATCAACGGCTCACTTTTCCAGGAACACAAGATGTCGAAAAATGGCGGATGACTGGTTTCTCTCGAAATGTGAACAATTTTTTGGGGAGAGCATTCGAAGTACAGATGTTAAACCGCGATGGTTTGAACAAAGTTTTCCCAAATTTTTCTTAAAAAAAAAATTGAGAATTAACTGGTACATCTGGTAAGCAGCTAAAGATTAATAAGTGCAAGCGGTTGGAGAACAGTCGACGGAAAGCTTGGTTCTACGGGGACCCATGAATCCCCGCCAGAAGTTCGCCAGCAGAAATCATTCGATCCGTTTCTTCCGACTCCCTGATTTATCCCGGTCCCCCTTTTATTACCGGCAAAAGTTCAACCCGTGGCTCGTAAATATTTAGATAATTAATTCTACTCCGACTGTTTACCGTAGACGCGAGGCGTTTTAAAACAGATTGTTCGTTCTCATTGGTCGGTCGACTTCTCTGTAGGATAAATCATGCAGTTTCCCGTATTGCAATCCCAATTTAATCCTACAGAATTCTCTGCAGAACTATTTTTTGCTAGCCTCATTGACCCAGCTCGTATATTATTTTATACAACCGTGCTCTGTATCCCCCGTGACTTCTCTTCTCTCTCTCTTTCTCTATTTTTTTTTCGCTCCTACCATTATTCCCGGCGAAAATTCCACGCCGCGTTGAACACGTACTTTTTACCCGGAAAATGTATATCTGTTAGTCCAACTCGTTTCGAATTTTACTCGTTTTTCTCCGCGATGTCCCGATCGAGGATCCACACTTTCAAACTATTCGTTCCTGCTGATGGTTGTTCAAACATTTCGCTCGACGTCTGCTCTTAAGGAATGCGTGGTGATATTTTGGTGATTGAATCAGGTTACATGTTTGATTTCCATCGGTTGTGTTGTTGTTTGGGGGAAATGTGCGGGGGTGAGGTGGTTTAATTTTATTGGAAATTTGGAGGTTTGGGTGTAGAGAGTATTTGGATTTTGGTAATTAATTTGGGTGTTGGGAATTTTTTCCGTCTTGGAAGTCGGAATTTTTGAAGTTCTGGAGTTTGAAACTTTGGGGTTTTGGAATTCAGGGAGTTTGGTATTTGATAATCTTGAAATTTGGGGGTTTTAGAATTCAGGGAGTTTGATATTTGATAATTTTGAAATTTTGAGGTTTTGGAATTTGATGACCTTGAAATTTTGGGGTTTTGGAATTCTGGGAGCTTGGAATTTGATGACCTTGTAATTTTGGGGGTTTGGAATTCTGAGAGCTTGGAATTTGATGACCTTGAAATTTTGGGAGCTTGAAATTTGATGACCTTGAAGTTTTGGGAGCTTGGAATTTGATAACCTTGAAATTTTGGGTGCTTGGAATTTGATGACCTTGAAATTTTGGGGTTTTGGAATTTGATGACCTTGAAATTTGGGGGTTTTGGAATTCTGGGAGCTTGGAATTTGAAGACCTTGAAATTCTGGAGTTTTGGAATTTTGGGAGCTTGGAATTTGAAGACCTTGAAATTCTGGAGTTTTGGAATTCTGGGAGTTTGGAATTTGATGACCTTGAAACTCTGGGGTTTTGGAATTTGATGCCCTTGAAATTTTAGGGTTTTGAAACTTTACAGCTTTGAGGGTTTGAAGTTTAGGATTTTTGTATTATTAAATATTTGAAGTTTGAAAATTTTAAATTTACAGATTTTACAACTTTTGTACTTTGAAGTCTTAGGACATTAAAAATTTGGTGATTTCTGAAGTTTGAGACTTTGACACCATTCAACCCTAAAGTTCTAAAAACTTGAAACTTTTAAATCTTACAACATTATTATTTTTGAATTGTATAAATTTTACAAATAGAACAGTAATTTCTATATCTACCACTTTATGAATCTATCAAAAATCTCCGAGTGTTTCATTATTTCCTTACTACCTTACCGTTTGTTGTTGCACACTGTAATCGTAGAACATCATATGCAGTTGCAGTCAAAGGTCAGTATGCATACGTTTCGCGGATATGAGATTTCATATAGTCGTATTAAAATACACGAAGGAATGCGCTTGTTTGTGTTATGTGTGTGCACATGTGACGGAAGATTTATTACGAAGAATGTTGTGTTCTTGTACCTTTACATTTTTGTTTTCATTTTGTTAACTCGTTCATTACCATGTTAAATACAAGCACGTTGTATGAAAAATTAATTTTGTCTTTCATTTTCTTTTCTTTTTATGATTCACTGAATTTAATCTGCACAAGCGTTTCTGTAATAAGAATCCAATTATTGAATTTTTGCAAAATAAATTTTTTCAATCATTTTTTATTTATCCATTTATTATATTTTAAAAGTGCATTTTTGTCAAATCATAATAATTACTATTTGAAAAATAAAAGAAATAAATAAATTAAATATTATTTATGGGCTAATGATAATAATCAATTAAATATTATTTTAAAAAGTCTTCTTTAACAGTTTATTTTCATGTAGTTATCTATTTATTTGCAGTTTTATTGCAAAGAATAAAAATGACAATTAAATATAAACATAATGTAAATCTACCATTTGTCAAATAATTTTCCTCAATGAATTATCGCAGCATATATTAATACACCAAACAAAACAATCGAACACCGGAATTAATTTTGAATAGAGCCGGTGTCTATTTACTTTTAATTTGTTATTTGTTATCGAGGGAAATGGAGTCGCAGCTTGTTGTTCCGGGAAGGGATTAAAGTTAATGCTATTCTGGTAACGTTCGATGCAACGGACAGGGAAGTGCAAGTAAAACGTTAAAATTTATCGAGCGACCCAAAAAGGGATGTTGCCGGCCACTGGGTTAAGCATGGATTACATCATAAATGTTCGCTAACAATTTTATCTGCTCGAGTGTTTACCTTCAAAGTGATGTATTTTCTCTCCCCTTTTTAGTCGCGAGGGGCCGTCATTTTCGCAGAATTAACAACGTTGTTGTTGAACCCTTTACAACCGCCAAATTGGGGAAGAAACATATTCGCGGGGGAAATTTGAACTATTTATAGAAACCGGTGCAATGGCCTGCGGTTATACGAGGGTCAAATAATTCATTGGAATTAATAATTCATTCTCGAGTTTGCTCAAATACCGTGGCTATATTGCAACACATAATTTCTGACGTAGTCATCAGTGCTGAAACGGGATTCTTCAACCGTTAAATTAGTTATAAATTATTACATTACAATTTACTTCATAATTTTTAAGAATTTATATTATCGTGTAGACATATGTGCAACTAAACGTTTATGAAGGATGGAATGATTTAATTTTTCGCGTAAATATATTTCTATAAAAATTTATGATAGAGATCATTTGATGTTGATTGACTACTCGATTACTTAAATAAATTAACTTAATCAAATTTAGTTTCAAGTTAAATTAGTTTTAATTTAAATTAAATGCTGTCGATATATTATTAACTGAATCACTTTTGAATGACATTAATTATTATTATCAGTATGATATTACCTCAAATTCCCAAGTAAAACCAAAGACTAAAATATAGAATAACTACCAAAGAAATAAAAAGTAGAATAACCAATATACTTATTCAAAATGTAGGTAAAGGTTGTTTTTACGTCCGCAGTAGTTATGAGCGCATTACAGGAATTTCGACCAGGAAATATTTAAACTCAATAAGAAGCGTGCAAGCAAGTTGCATAGCAGAGATTCACAGAACCGGAAGTGCATAACGTTCGTCCGATCGAACATTGGAATCGGTTTAACCATCCCATACTGTCCCATCGTATTTCCATACTACTAAGTTTTCCGTGTCGATGCGGTTGCACGGAAACTCACCAGATTTCTAAGCACGTCGTCTGGCACGTTTCTAGTGGAATTGCAGAGTGCCCTGGCAGCACTGTGAGAGAAAATCACCGGTGCCCTCGTCGTCTGTAGGGCCGCCCTCATTGTTCTCGTCGAGACATGAGAAAGATCCACTAGCATCCCCAGTCTGTTTAGTTCCCTCACGACTGCCTGGAAAATAATTAAATATTATTTACATTTCTGCTTTATTCAGTACAAAAGATTATTGTTTTCCTTTTCTTTAATCATTCTTAATTATTCACAATATAATTCTGAATTATTCACAAATAGTTCTAAACTCCCTAGTTATCAAATTGTGAAACCTACATTTCTAAATTGTCAAGTTTCAAAATCCCTAAATTATTGAAATTTTAAATCCCTAGTTTTCTCATTGGATTTTCAAATTTTCAAAAGTTGAGATTTCAATCTAGTTGACCGCGGATAAGGAGATTTGCGGAAAAACAAACCTGTAGATACATGAATCCGCGGATACGTGGAACCATACGACAGTACGACTGCCGTAGAGTTAATCCGCGGATAACGGAACCCGCGGATACTGAGTCCGCGGATAACTGAAACCAGGTATGAGCGAAATCCTGGGTAGGTGTATGCGCGGATACCGAACCCGCGGATAACGGAAACCGCGGATACCGAATCCGCGTATAATAGAAACCAAGTATAAGCGAAATGCTGGATAAGCGGATCAGCGGATAACGAATCCCGCGGATAACGGAAACCGTAGATACCGAGACCGCAGGTGACGAAAATCGCGAATACCGAGACCGTGGATAGCGGGAACCGCGAATACCGAGACCGCGCATAGCGGAAACCCTTACAAGCAAAGCCTCTAGAAAGTGGACTCGTGGATAACACCTTCGCGAATATCGAATCAACAGATAATGAATCCGCGGATACGGAGATTCAGATGCATAAAATGTAGAAGGTAAAACGAAATATGATGCAATAAAATTGCATATATGACATTTACGGAATATGTAAAGTACCAATAAAACAAAAGTGTTTAATACAGAAAAACGTATACCCACGACGATACCTATGCATAAAACATAAATGTTCGTGTTCATAAATACGGTGAGATCCTGAAATAATTAAATCTAATACGCTAACAGTAAACTCGAGCGTATCGCTCGAAGCGAAGAGAAATCTCAAGGGAAGCGGCGAATAAAGAAGTAGATAACAATGTTGCCCAACTGTGCAACATTGTTGTGTTTGTTCTATTAATTAAACAGCGTATACGTACGGCCATATCAGTAGACAGGGTACACGGTCATCCGTTATGGCCGTTAATTTCTATAATGTTCATGGCAGCAGCGAAACCGGAACACATGCGACTGTTAAAACGAAATTTGAGTCCCGAATAAAGTTGCAGATGGTTGATGCCGATGCAAACTACAAAATCACGTAATCCCTTTGGCAGCGGTCGTGACCCAGCACGAAAATTTGCATTCTAACCGAATCCGCGAAATTACACGGGAGTTCAATCGAATTCGCGAATCGAACTATCGGGCATAACTCTTCGTTAACCACGTGGACAATTATTATTTATCGTTTAGCGGGCCGCGTAAATTTATTTCGCTCGAAGGCGTGCGACGAATTTAATCAGACAGCGATGCGTTCTGGAAATCATTCCCTGTGCCATCGCGTGTAATAGTTTAATTAACGTTGATCGATATGACATACTTGCAGTCAAAGCTTCCGTTCGAAAATGTTTTCTTGTTGGGCATTTAATAGGACGATAAATTTGAAGATATTGTAGTTTTCGATTTCCTGGTTTTCAATTTTTCAAGTTTTCAAGTTTTCGAGTTTTCAAGTTTTCAAGATTTCAAGTTTTCAAGATTTCAAGTTTTCAAGTTTTCAAGATTTCAAGATTTCAAGATTTTAAGATTTCAAGATTTCAAGATTTCAAGTTTTCAAGTTTTCGAGTTTTCGAGTTTTCAAGTTTTCGAGTTTTCAACCTTTCAACCTTTCAACCTTTCAACCTCTCAACCTCTCAACCTTTCAATTTTTCAATTTTTCAATTTTTCAATTTTTCAATTTTCCAATTTTCCAATTTTTCCATTTGTTAATTTCTCCATTTGTCAATTTTTCCATTTGTGAATTTTTCCATTTTTCAATTTTTTCATTTATCAATTCTTCAATTCTTCACTTCTTCACCTCTTCACTTCTTCAGTTCTTTAATCCTTCAATTCTTTAATTCTTCAATTCTTCAATTCTTCAATTCTTCAACTCTTCAATTTTTCAATTATTCAATTATTCAATTTGTCAATATTTCAATTCCTAGTTTAATAAATATATGAAAGGCGGAAAGTGGGCGAAAGCGCTTCTGCTTAAAAGATGTCCTCTAATTCGCGCGTCTGGTAAGATTATTTAATTGACAGCAATTATCAAAGATATTTGTAGCCATTGAAGGGGAACACCTCGTCCCTGTTTGTCAGTACGAAATCGCGCGTACCAAGAAAAACGAACATCACTGGCTTCTCGTTAAAGCACGGTTGTGGCTGCATAAAAAGTACGGTGCCCATTGTGTTCGTTCTTTTCCCTGGTCTCGCATCGGCATCCCGTTCTATGCACATCGCAGCTTTTTCCCCTCTATTTTCGCGTAATAGAAGGGGCGGCTTGCTTACGCCATCGACTAATGTTCACTAACCGAAATGCCAACGTTTTCTTCGTTCCGTGCTCTCTCTATTTTTCACCCTCTCTCACGCCATCGTTTTTCTCCCAGCAATCTTCGATTTTTCCCATCTCTTTTATCCGGATCGTACTCCGGTGTAATACCTCGACCCAGTATCTCGCTTTACCGCGATCATCTTTCTTAATCAACGCCTTGCGAAATCGCGGGACGAATTAAGGGTATCTCGTAAGTCCATGCACACGTACCAACCAACCAACCCTTCCGGCGTTTCACAGTAATTATCTCCAAGTGGCACGTCTTGTAATTGCGCGAAATTGCACGGCCCTGACAGCCAGGGACGTTAACAATGTTCGTTTTAAAGGCGTCTACTGCTGGTCACGCTTTTCGTAAATTCTAAAAACGTGATAAGAGGTAACTGCGACCGGTTAATTGCATCCTTAATTAAGATCCCGTTTCTACCGCGCTTTTTCAGATTTTCCGAAATTTCGACAAATTAAACTCTACCGATACCTTATCGCCGGGACGTGATTACGGTGTTTACAAAAGACTTTCGCCGATGGTGAATGGATAAATGATAAGGAATTATACTTTTGAAGTACTTCCTTTTAAGGGGAGAGTTACATGTCACGGAAGGAAAGGAAACTTTTAAAGACGCTTGGAACTTTTAATTTGTAGCGTGAAAATCAAACGCGTGTTTCTTACGCGGAGACGGATTTATGTATTTATGAACTAAACTTTGAAATGTGAAAGTTTCTAAATTTCTATATTCCTTAATTTTAAGTCATTGAATTCTTAGACTTCTAATGTATTTCAGATTCTATATCTCTAGATTTCTATATTTCTTAAAGCACCATATTCCTACATTCTAGTAATTTTACGTATATCTTGAACTTAAATTTATAAAATTATAGGTTTATATGACCCTAGATTCAGATAAATTTTTATAGATGAATTTTTGTATCACTTATGTCTCCAAATTTCGGATTCCTAATATTGTGATATTATATCCTGAAATTTTTAGACAAAATATCCCTAGATCTCGAAATCAAGATTTAAATATCCCTAGATTGAGAAATCCTTAGATTCAGAAATCCCTAGATTCAGAAATCCATTGCTCCAGAAATCACTAGATTCAGAAATCCCTAGATTCAAAAATAACTGGATCCAGAAATCCTTAGATTCAGAAATCCGTAAATCCAGAAATCCCTAAATCCAGAAATCCCTAGATTCAGAAATCCCTAAATCCAGAAATCCCTAAATTTAGAAATCCCTAGATCCAGAAATCTCTAGATCTAGAAATCACAGAGATCCTGATATCCCTAAATACTAAATCCCTAGATACTAAAATCCCTAGATTCAGAAATGCCATGATTCGAAAATTCCTAGATCTAGAAATCCCTAGATCTAGAAATCACTAGATCTAGAAATCCTTAGATCCTGATATCCCTAAATACTAAATCCCTAGATACTAAAATCCTTAGATTCAGAAATCCCTAGATCTAGAAATCCCTAAATTTAGAAATCCCTAGATCTAGAAATCACTAGATCTAGAAATCCTTAGATACTGATATCCCTAAATACTAAATCCCTAGATACTAAAATCCCTAGATTCAGAATTCCCTAGATCCAGAAATTCCATGATTCGGAAATCCCTAGATCTAGAAATCCCTAAATTTAGAAATCCCTAGATCTAGAAATCACTAGATCTATAAATCCCTAGATTCTGAAATCCCTAAATACTGAAATGCCTAGATCCCGAAATTCCTAGATACAGAAAACCCTACCTCGAGAAATCCCTAGATCCAGAAATCCCTAAATTTAGAAATTCCTAGATCCAGAAATCACTGTATCTATAAATCCCTAGATTCTGAAATCCCTAAATACTGAAATCCCTAGACTCCGAAATTCCTAGCTACAGAAAACCCTACCTCGAGAAATCCCTAGATCCAGAAATATATTCAGAACCCTATGAAGCACAACATCCATATCCCCAAACGTTAATTCCACAAATCTGAATTTTTATTTCCTTACGTCCCTATATTCTTGTTTACACGAACAAATATTCTTGAATGACATAAGGTCTGTTATGCATCGAATAAAAGATGCATTTATTGTAGCATTTTTTATCTCGCAACGTCGATAATCTTATAACTGTAATAAAAAATATATGCTGTTACAATAATTTGTTCCGTATACAAGCGATCGAGCAAACGCACGAAATAATGGGTTCATTTAAAAGCGAGAACAACTCCCATAAAACTTTCCGCGAACCATGTACGAGCAATTTATACAGTCCGAAAATTTTCAAACGTAGCAGTTCTTAGATAACGCATTGGCAAACTTACTTTCGGTTTCCTGTTCGCTTCCCATAACGTCGAGTCGCGTGCAATTCGGTTTCTATGAGAAATTGTGGAAAATCATTCGGGCCAACTGTATACAGCAATAACAGTAAATTAATTGGACATGGAAGTTTCAAAATTCAATCGAAACGAGATATCAAAGTAATAAAAGTTTCAATTGAAAATGTAAAATGTTTCTGTTCGAGCGAACGATCCGAAATACATATATATAAGGGAAGTAGTTACGTGTAATAAATTAATACTGATAAATTTGTACATCCAATCAATTTTTGTTAATTTAGTATTCTGCTTGCGTTCACTTTTAATCGATTTGTATTACATTCGGTTTTGTACAATTTATGGTTAATTCATATTTTAGTCGATTTGTAAGTTCTCTTTTTGCGAAAATTTTTTATTTGTTAATGGGAGAATTGAATTACAGCTGAAATTGTTTTAAGTGATATTGATAATTGTTGAAGATTTTATATTGTTTGTAACTGTGTACTTTTGTGACAGTTCACATTTTCAACATTGAGGATTTGGAAAATGTGTTAACTGGTACTTTTTAAATTTACGAACTTGAGATTTGGAAATTGTTTTCAATAAAAATTCATAAGTCTTGGAATTACTAAGTTACAAATTTGTAAACTTAAAAGATTGTAAAAATTCGATACAATTTTTATCAGCGAACATTGTTATAAATCAAAATTTCGAAACACAAAAATTTGAACGTGCGTCTATGACACATAGTGCAGCAACAACGCGCACAGACGCCCTTGTGCCGTTCACCGAGCATTTCCAATCTATTCTTCGTTTCTATCCGCTAGAATTTCATTTCGCTGAACGCTGCAGATTCTACAATCAAGCAGAACGACATAGAATAAAACCCTGAACGATTCCTAAACGATTTATTCGAGGCGTATGCGAATCGAACGTCTCTGTCGATGCTTACGTAATGTCATACACCGCCATTGAAAGCCACTCGAATTCAATATCGCCAGACGGAAAACAAACGCGAGGAAAATCCCCGAAAGGGGACTCGGGGGTTACATCACTGAAATTATTTTCACTCCGTATCGAAACAGCGGTTTCAGGCGGAAAACGGGCAAAGAAAAACACAAACGGAATAACTTTGAAATCCTCAGATTAGCGGAATTTTCGAGCAAATCGTCTGGCAGCGTTGTTCTGCCCGCCGCAATAACGATTTTATACCGTCGCTGTTTCCTACATACACTAATGCTCAAAAGTGTTGTGTTCTTATATGCCAAAAGAATAATTTATTCGGAAAACTTCCAAACATTTTTATAACTTCATTAATACGTGTATATTTATTACTTGCAACGTATTTTATCTGTTCTTTTCAATCGATATATTACCATTGATTGTATAATGCTTCAGATGGAGGGAAAAATGAGACTACGTACTCTATTAGTAGTAATATAGTGGGATCTAGGGATTTTAAGGTATATGGATTTCGGGATTTTGGAATTTCTGAATCTAGGGATTTTAAGCCATATGGATTTCGGGGTCTAGGAATTTTGAGATCTAGGGATTTCTGAATCTACGCATATTGGGATCTAGGGATTTAGGGATTTTGGGATTTTGAAATTTTGGGATCTAGGGATTTTGGGATTTTGGGATTTTGGGATTTAGGGATTTAGGGATTTAGGGATTTAGGGATTTAGGGATTTAGGGATTTAGGGATTTAGGGATTTAGGGATTTTGGGATTTAGGGATTTTGGGATTTAGGGATTTTGGGATTTAGGGATTTTGGGATTTAGGGATTTTGGGATTTAGGGATTTTGGGATTTAGGGATTTTGGGATTTAGGGATTTTGGGATTTAGGGATTTTGGGATTTAGGGATTTTGGGATTTAGGGATTTTGGGATTTAGGGATTTTGGGATTTAGGGATTTTGGGATTTAGGGATTTTGGGATTTAGGGATTTTGGGATTTAGGGATTTTGGGATTTAGGGATTTTGGGATTTAGGGATTTTGGGATTTAGGGATTTTGGGATTTAGGGATTTTGGGATTTAGGGATTTTGGGATTTAGGGATTTTGGGATTTAGGGATTTTGGGATTTAGGGATTTTGGGATTTAGGGATTTTGGGATTTAGGGATTTTGGGATTTAGGGATTTTGGGATTTAGGGATTTTGGGATTTAGGGATTTTGGGATTTAGGGATTTTGGGATTTAGGGATTTTGGGATTTAGGGATTTTGGGATTTAGGGATTTTGGGATTTAGGGATTTTGGGATTTAGGGATTTTGGGATTTAGGGATTTTGGGATTTAGGGATTTTGGGATTTAGGGATTTTGGGATTTAGGGATTTTGGGATTTAGGGATTTTGGGATTTAGGGATTTTGGGATTTAGGGGTTTTGGGATTTAGGGGTTTTGGGATTTAGGGATTTTGGGATTTTGGGATTTAGAGATTTTGGGATTTTGGGATTTTGGGATCTAGGGATTTTGGAATCTAGGGATTTTGGGATCTAGGAATTGTTGGGTCTAGGGATTTTGGGGTCTAGGGATTTTTTGACCCTAGCGATTTTGGAATCTAAGGATTTCTGGATCTAGGGATTTTGGAATATAGGGATTTCTGGAGCTAGGGATTTTAGGATTTAGAGATTTTGGCATCTAGGGACGTTAGGATCTAGAGATTTCTGTATTTAGGAATTTCTGGATCTAGGAATTTAGGAATTTGATGGTCTAGGGATTTCAAATATAGGAACTTAGAAATATAGGTATTTGGGAATATTGGAACCTAGGGATATTGTAACGTGTCTCTCAGGAGATTGTGATCCAGGGATATAGGAATCTAGGAATTTCAGAATATCATGTTCCAAAGATATTTGAAACTAGGGGCACTAGAACTTCCAAACCTATACATAGATCATAATCTAGGGATATTCTTATAAGGACATCGAAACTTGGTGACATTGCGATCTGAAGATATTTGAGTCAGTCTAGAAATATTGATTAATCTCTAACCTCATTCACAATTAAAAAGTAAATTGTTACACACTTTCAATCTTAAACTTTAGTTACAATTAAAAATCTTGTCTTTCAATCTTAATTTTCAGTCACAATTAACTCTACGTTCATAGAACGCCTCAAAATGACCCAGTTTAAATTCCTTTAAATGTAATTTTCGCCAATGTCAGAAATAATCATATAAATTACTCTGCGTTTCAACCTTGACACATCTATCGTTTGTTCTCAATACACTTGCTATTACAACTCCAAATGTGAACTTGTATACCTTTGTATCACTTGCAATAGACGCAAGTATTCGCTCAACATTCTCATTTTCATATTATTTTCTATTTCGATGTTGACTAACTTACAAAAGTACTTAACATATGAATTTACATAGTATCAAAATTTGCCAGTTAATCAGAACCGCAGTACGTCCATAAACGCGGCGCTAAAAACCGTGTCCCCCGATATTTCCGAAAGTAATTCCCGATAAGAAAATCAGTGTAACATTGATACTTTTGAGCAATAGTGTATCCGACAGTGCGCTCGAACAATCGAGCCATGTCTGGCAATGTGGCTTGGTGCTTTCACACAAACACAATGCATCGTCCGGGGTTGACGGGGTCTGGTGTATGTAAATGAGAGTGGAAAGAGAAAGAACGAAACAAAGAGAGAGGGAAGAGAAAGGGGGCAACATCCAGAGAAACTGCACGGGAACTCGAAGGGGAAAGATTAGAGTAGGGGAGAGAAGGGCCGGGGAAGATAACAGAGATGGCTTATTTGATTTACGTTCCCGTTTCGCGTCTCCTCCCTCTCTCGTTCGATCGTTTCTTTTTTTCTCTCCCTTTTCTTTCATTTTTTTATCACGCGACAGAAACTACCACGATGCGACTGCAAATTTCGCGGGATCGATAGAAAAAAAGGGAGACAAGAAATAAAACGCTGCGTCCCTTTCTCGCCGGTGTACACAAAAAAGATTCGTCGGTGTTTGGCCTTTTCTTTTATCGCCGATATATCGACGATCCGTGCAACGAATGCCAGAAATTCGGCCGAAAAATTCGTCGATTTTGCTCGAACGCCTCTGGAAAGTTCGCCGCGGAAAGTTCTGTGAGAGAGAAGTGGGTCAGCCTCGTTACTTTCCGAAGAATGAAGAAGCGCCGTGGAAATAGAGCGTACGATGTCATTCAATACTTTTCATTGATTATTATTTCTTTTATGGTGATCGGGTTAAGTATAGAATTCATAGCGGAGATAACGATGATTCTTTAATACCCGTTTAATACGCCGGGGTTGAATTATTAAGGCTGTCATTTATATTCCATTTTATCTTATATTCTGCTTTGGACGATTTTAATTATTCTCTTGTGGACTGTTTCTTGGGGATATGAGAGGTCATATGCTCTTTGTATGACAGGTATATTAACTTATGAATAAAAAGGAAATAGTGTATTGATAGTGGAGGAATATTAATAATTTTGATATAATATTATTGAGAAATAATATGTTGATATGTTAATAAATGTTAATATGTATGATATGTGAGGTCATATGTACTTCATATGATACAAATGTTAAAGTAGTAATATTTTATCAATATTAATACTATTAATATTATTGAGAAATATTTTAATAATTTATAATTATAAAAATTTCAATTTCACAACTTTTTCAAGATTTTAACCTTAGAGAGATTTTTCTAACCTAAGTTGGAAAATTATGAAATCTTGTAATTTAGAATTTCTAAAATTTTTAAAACAAATTTAATAACTTAGAAATATAGAAATGTGAAAAGTTGATAATTTGGGAATTTAGAAATTTACTATCTTGAAAATTCAAAAACTTAAAAATTTATTAACTTGGAAATTTCAAATATATAAATTTGAATTTGGTAACCTATTAATTTCAAAACATAAAAATCAACAAGCTTGAAAATTAAAAGACTTAAAACTCGAAACCTAACAGTGCCAAGTGATTGTTTCCCAGAACTACTAACATGTTACAAACATTTCTCAAAGTAATAGTTAAATAAAAAAGTGTTACAAATTTGTTAACTCACCTTTCCGAATTCACTGAGACCTGGCGTCGAATCCTGGGTACTGTTCGTCTCGCCAACTGAACAGACTGCCCTGCCAAGAAAATGTCTGTTAGAACTCCTTTCTTCTGACGCGAAAAACTACCGGAAAATTCAATAATTCTTCTATATAAACATGTTCATTGCTCTCGAATAAAAACGCGTATAACATTCTTCTATGTTCTTTCTCAATAATATTCGATACTGAAATATTTTCTGATAAGACAACGTAAAACAAATAAAATTAATTATTCAGATATTCATATAAACATTTAGAAATTTCTATATTCTCTTAAAGTACAAGATTAAAATATATCAAATATTTCTGAACAGAATAAACTTACACACCAAGTATCTCATAATCAGACAAAGAAAAACCAGCTTGAAATCTGCATTGATGTTCATCAGGATAAAGAATTATGTGTACTAATTTATGTTTCGTTGGTTTATTTACTCACGATTTTACTCCCACTTGCAGCCACCTTACGAAAAAAAGTGTACAACAATATTTGCAGGATATGAAGTGCACAATGGATATTAGTAAAGCAAATTTTGAAAACAGTTTGTTCTCTTGGCAAAGTCACCTTGGGTTTTTTAAATAGGAACATACATTTTTTTTAATTAATAGCTTTAGAGGACATCGAGACGAATTCAAAACACGTATTACATGATATTTTTATTAACACGTTACTCGATTTACAGAAGTGGAAATGTGCATAACGTTAATCTTACCTAACCTCTACGTACAAAGGTTAATCTGAACTAACGTTTATATACACAGGTTAATCTAACCTAACCTCCACTTACAAAGGTTAATTTAACCTAACTTTTAAACACAAAGGTTAGTCTAACCTAACCTTCACGTACAAAGGTTAATCAAGCCTAACCTTTATTTATGAAGGTTAGACTAACATAACCTTCACATCCAAAGGTTAGTCAAACCTAACCCTTATTTATGAAGGTTAGACTAACCTAACCTTTATTTATGAGGGTTAGACTAACCTAACCTTTATACACAAAGGTTAGTCTAATCTAACCTTCACGTTCGAAGGTTAGTCAAGCCTAACCTTTATTTATGAAGGTTAGACTAACATAACCTTCACGTCCAAAGGTTAGTCAAACCTAACCTTTATTTATGAAGGTTAGACTAACATAACCTAAACTTGTTTTCGTAAGGTGGCTGCAAGTGGGAGAAAAATCTTGAGTAGCGTTACAGGTGACAACCTGTATATCTAGGTTTAGTGTTACTCTGAAATACACATAAAGATCACATAAAGAACTTTATGAAATAACACAAATGTAACACGAGTTCTCTCATTGAAACAGTAATTATAGAAGGAACGAAAGATTAACACGATCCTTGATTAAAAAGATCCTCGACCAGAAAGTAATCTTTGTTTCCTCCGTCGAATCCTCAACTACGGAATTCGAGGACGGGTTTTAAAATCGGGAAATAATTTGTCAGCGCGAGAAGCAATCGTTGACCTTTGGAAACGGTCATGCAAGGCGAAAAGGTCGTCGAAAGATCGTCGAAAGGAGAGCCGCGAAGCCGTAGAAAATTTAATCCGACCGTCGAAAGCCGGTAATCTTTCTTCTCGTCCCGACACCTCGACGCGGAAACGTTTTCCACGGAAACGTTAGGAAAGGTCGACAGCTCGTCGTCATCGAGAATTGCGGGAAATCCAATCGTCCCGACAATTCTCACGGGAAAAACCGAAAGACAAAGGAGGCGGGAAGAAAAGATGGAGAGACAGGAAAACGGGGAGATCGACGTTAGGCCTAGAACACTTCTCTCAAAGCGATTCGGACATTGTGTCCTACTGAATGAGCCCTTTTACGATGATTGCCGCACAATGGACCTCCATTTCTTCTTATTCCCTGACAGTTTGTTCTAACTATTTCGTATACTGTTTTGCGTATCTTTCACGTTTGATGCCTTCACATTAATTCAGAGTTTGTTATTCGATCAGAAGTTTGGTCTGAGTGATGTTGTTAAGACATTGTTAAGATTGCACAAAAAAAATAATGGTCATTATAGAATTTGTGAAATTTGACAATCGTCAATTAACTTTAAAAACAAGTTCCAATAACAATATGCTTGATTTGTAAAATTTGAAGAAACTGCTCCTTCTTTTGTGATCAAACATTTAGTCAAATCAATCAAATAGTGACAGAGTAGTTTGAACAGTTAAAGTGTGAATACAAAAAAGAACAAGTGGTACATAACAAAAGCTAAAAAGAGGTAAAGGAACGTAACAAAAGAGGAGCTGATTACCATACAGTTTAGGTTGCATATAAAAAAAACTCCACTTGACATGTTTGTCGCGAAACGGTGCCGTAGTTTTGGCCGGGATCGTGTACCCCGAAGTTTCACTCGAGATGACAGTATCTGTCCAAAGTAAAGTACGACACGGTTGCTGATATCGTTGGCTGTAGCTAACAGTTCAAGTCGAAACTGTCGTATTACACGACAATGGCCGTCGACTCGATTCGGCCTGGTTTTCAATCCCTGCCTACTTTATATGTCCCTCGACACGGAGTTTCCTGCTGCCGTACATAACAACTTTAGTCACCTTGTTCTCGAACCTGTCTCTCCGATATATATTCTTATTTCCCACGAATTACTTGGTGTAACATATTAGATACTTATTTTCAAACTTTGCACGATATATTTAAAAATATTAATTTTAAATGAATGAATAGCCGAGCTGTTTTTGGTAATAACTGCCAGAATATTAGGTTTATGTCAAAAATGTATATAACCTTTTTTATAGAGTCCTTTATGAACTTTATTTTTTGTTTGAAACATTTTTCTTTAGAATCGATATTTTCGGAGATATTTAGAAAGCACTATATAAATTAATTTGTTCCGAGGGAAAGATTATCGGAGACTTAAATGAATGAATAGCTGAGCTGTTTTTGGTTACAACAGCCGAAATATTAGATTTACGTTAAAAATGTATATAACCTTTGTTATAGAGCCTTTTATGAACTTCATTTTTTGCTTGAAACATTTTTCTGTAGAATCGATATTTTCGGAGATATTTAGTTAGCACTGTAAAAAAGTTCGAAGGCTAGGGAGCAAATGAAGTTTTGTCATAAAAAATCCTTTTAGGGACTTTCTCTAATCAAGGTTGGGTTCGAGTTATAATTTCCAGTGTACACCAAGTGTAAATATTTTTTATACATTTTTCTCCAAATATTTTTGTCCAAAAATAGAATAGAAACATAAAGCTTGCCAAAAGTAATCTCAACCCCAATAAAGTCAAGCTTGAAATTTTTCAATCTGTAACAGCACCTATATCCCAAATATCTGGTACAAGCACAGTACATAATAGTTGGAAGCATAAAAGAAAGATCGAAAGTTGAATGTTTATCGGCGTCTTGCGTCAGAGGAGAAGAAGGTGCATAAAAATCGCGCTCTATCGAGATTACACGACATCGAGACCCATGGGACGCATAAAACTTTCCCTTCAAGGATGGATGTCTCGGCGGAACTCGTATTTCTACCATGTTTCGACATTATTCCATCGCCGGCGCTTCCGAGAGTACAACGATTTCTTGCTTCTAGCGAGCGCGAAGATAATAAGGAACTTTGAGAGATATGACTGTAGTCAGTCTTTCAGATCAGAGATTCAATATAGCAAGCCACGGGAATTTCGTTGAAATATAGCGAGCGAAAAGGAAACCGCAGAAACTTTCTCCGTGGTGAAAGAAATTCTGATAGAGGATCAGCTCCGTGGCGAGGAGACCGGTTATCGGGATCGTAAAAGGATCTTTTGATTCTTTCAGGCTATTCGTAGATTGGGATCTGAAAGAACTTTTATGCGAATTTTGATTTCGGGGTGACAAGTACGTTTTTATCGAGGTTTTGTTAATTGACTATGCATATTTATGCAAATGTTATTTGTACTGTTTGTATAAATATTATTTATTCTATTTGTACTGCTTGTTTATTACAGGAGAGTTTATATAGGATCCTATAAAATGTATATGTAAAGTAAGATTATGTAAATCTTAGAATACGTAAGGAAAGTGGTGGACGCTAACGTTAATGGCGGCCATCTTGAATATTTGTGATTTCAGTGAAACTAATATGTCAACTTCTATTCTCTTTATTTATTAAATTATAATCTTCCAAAGAGTTTATATATACGTTGATCAATAATACACTTTATGTATTATTAAACAATTCTGTACATATATTTGTTAATTTATTCTTTAATATGATACACCAGATTACTTTTGTAAATAAACTATTTATTAATTCAATTTTATTGTGATAATAGAAATTACAGGCTGAATATTATTTGTTCAAATATGTAGCTATTTATTAACAATTTTATGTAAAATTTATCTTGTTGAACTATCAATATTCTTCATTCATCCTAAAATACATAAAAAATAACTTTACAAAATTAGAGATCAAATTATATTAAATTCATTTAATAACAATTTGAATACATACTCGAAAATAATATTTATTTGTTTCTACAAAATTAATATGTACTACATTAATACTATAAAATTAATGATACAATAAATTTTATCATCTGAAATCGATATAAATATTTTTGTATGATTATTCTATTATAAAAGCTTGTTTTCATATAATTACATTTGAATTTTCGCGCCACCTGAGACCACGGTACGTCCGACATTTCCTTATTAATTCTTTCGATGATAAATATAAACTGTCTTTTCTTACTTCATGTTATAATCTCACAAGTGCAAATGTCTTCCTTAAATCAATCAGAAAGACTTCTACAAAAAGACATTCTTTGCAGAACGATTAATTGAAGAAGTAATGGCGTCAATTGATTAAACAGAGGCACTGAATCTGAGTAATCTATAAACTTGGACCGCTATCCCATTACCGTAATTACTAATGGTTCTACTTGATAAATGGTGTAGTAAACAGGAAAAAGTAGATACCATTAAAATAATCGATTCGATATAAAATTTTTTTTTATTGAAAACTAAACCGATAAACCGATATGCGATATATGGTGAATATAGAAAATGAACAACTATTAGTTTCAAACAATTTTTCGTGCAATTATTGGTTGTTAATCAATTTTGTGTAAAAGAATTAGCTTATAGGTTATTAGATTAACCTATAAAATATTTGTTATCACGTTCGAGGTGTTTTAAAGCGACAAAGGAAGAAGCCATTTCAGATTTTACATCTCTGAATTTTTATATTATTCAAATCCCTATATTCCTAGGTTTTTTTAATTTTACGTGTTCTTTTATCCTTCATTTCCATAATTTAATATTACTATCTCTCTAGAGTCCCATATTACAGTATTCCTATATTCAAATATTTCTATATCTTGAAATTCCCAGATTTCGAAAATCCGAAATTCCTAGATCTCGAAATCCCTAGATATTGAAATACCAAGATGCTGAAATCTCTATATCCCGAAATTCCTAGATCTTGCAATCTTTTAACAGAAAAATCCCTAGATCACGAAATCTCTTGACAGAAAAATCCCTAGATCTCGAAATTCCAAGATAGACAAATCTCTAAATACTGAAATCTCTAGGTGAAAAAACCCTTGATCTTAAAATCCCTAGATAGAAAAAATTCCTAGATTTCGAAATCCCTAAATCTCAAAATCCCTAGCTCCCCAAATCCCCAGATACCGGAATTTCTAGATCCCGAAATCCATAGATTCCCAAATCCTCAGATCTCCAAATCCCTAGATCCCCAAATCCCTAGATCCTCAAATCCCTATATCCCCAAATCCCTAGATCCCCAAATCCCTAGATCCTCAAATCCCTATATCCCCAAATCCCTAGATCCCCAAATCCCTAGATCCTCAAATCCCTATATCCCCAAATCCCTAGATCCCCAAATCCCTAGATCCTCAAATCCCTATATCCCCAAATCCCTAGATCCCCAAATCCCTAGATCCTCAAATCCCTATATCCCCAAATCCCTAGATCCCCAAATCCCTAGATCCTCAAATCCCTATATCCCCAAATCCCTAGATCCCCAAATCCCTAGATCCTCAAATCCCTATATCCCCAAATCCCTAGATCCCCAAATCCCTAGATCCTCAAATCCCTATATCCCCAAATCCCTAGATCCCCAAATCCCTAGATCCTCAAATCCCTATATCCCCAAATCCCTAGATCCCCAAATCCCTAGATCCCCAAATCCCTAGATCCCCAAATCCCTAGATCCCCAAATCCCTAGATCCCCAAATCCCTAGATCCCCAAATCCCTAGATCCCCAAATCCCTAGATCCTCAAATCCCTATATCCCCAAGTCTCTGTATCCCCAAATCCCTATATCCCCTAAATCCCTATATCCTCAAATCCCTATATCCCCAAGTCTCTGTATCCCGAAATCCTTGTATCTCCTAAATCCCTGTATCCAGAAATCCCTATATCCCCAAATCCCCATATCCCCATATCCCCATATCCCCATATCCCTATATCCACAAATCCCTATATCCTCAAATCCCTATATCCCCAAGTCTCTGTATCCCGAAATCCTTGTATCTCCTAAATCCCTGTATCCAGAAATCCCTATATCCCCAAATCCCCATATCCCCATATCCCCATATCCCCATATCCCTATATCCACAAATCCCTATATCCTCAAATCCCTATATCCCCAAGTCTCTGTATCCCGAAATCCTTGTATCTCCTAAATCCCTGTATCCAGAAATCCCTATATCCCCAAATCCCCATATCCCCATATCCCCATATCCCCATATCCCTATATCCACAAATCCCTATATCCTCAAATCCCTATATCCCCAAGTCTCTGTATCCCGAAATCCTTGTATCTCCTAAATCCCTGTATCCAGAAATCCCTATATCCCCAAATCCCCATATCCCCATATCCCCATATCCCCATATCCCTATATCCACAAATCCCTATATCCTCAAATCCCTATATCCCCAAGTCTCTGTATCCCGAAATATTCCCATATCCCTAGATCCCAAAATCCCTAGATCCCCAAATCCCTATATCGCTAAATTTCTAGATCCCGAAATCACTAGAGTCCGAAATTCCTACATCTCGAAATCTCTAAATTCACAAAATCCCTAGATCCCAAAATCCCAAAATCCCAAAATCCTTAAATCTCAAAATCCCCAGTTCTGAATCCCTAAATCCGAAAATCCCTAAGTTCACGATTCCCTATGTCTCAACAATATTACATCTCAAAATCCCTAGACACGTATATCCCTGTATCTCCCACACCTTGTATCCACAATTCACTATACAAATCCCTACACGTTGAAAATCCCATACTCTCAAATTCCAATTCTCTATTCCTTATATTCCCAGATTCTTATTTCTGCAAATCGTCATAGGGGTCCCTATAGTCCCAACAAATCCCAAATTTTAATATGGTAACAATTCGTAGAAATTGCAGGGTGAAATATGTTCAAATATGCAGGCATTTATTAACAATAAAGGAAAGAGAATAGGGCCAATTTTAATGCAGGGGCGGAGAACGTATTTGTTGTAACAGGGTCGCTAGAAGAAAAGTTCTCTCGTTTCCTTTTGAAACAAAGTTCTTTGGCCGTTCATTTCTTGGGATGTGAGACGTAAGTGTAGGGTTTTGGCAGGGCCACTGAGATCGCCGAGATGGAGGAAATTTCAGTGCGCCAAGGTTTTAGATTGCTTCGAGCTCTTTCAGGCTGATCGGCCGTGGGATAGCTTTTTCTTCGGCGATGGATCACGGTACAAAGCAGGACGAACGATCCCGGTAAAAAGTATACCTATAGTAGATCCACTGGCCTTCGTGGAACAGCGAAACGGGGCAAGTTTCGTTTGGGCCGATTAATTGAAATGGAAAATGCTCCTTTACCCCGGTGAAATGTTTTATGCGGAATCGGGCTAATGTAGAATTTCCCCTTCTGCTCGAATAAAGAAACTTTCTTTATTCTTTCCTTGGGCTAAAGAATCTACTGCCTTCTTTCCAACGCTCTTTTGTTTATACTTCTCTTTTAACTTTCTTGAATCGCGATTTTTATCATGTATCTTTTATACGGGCACAATGAATGTTGCACATTTTGTTTGGAGTTGAATAAGCTGTCGTTTTTTTTGGGTACCTTGTATCTTGAGAGATTGTAACACTGTCAAATTTATTGCTACCGTTCTTTATACAAAGATTTTCACGTAGAGAAAAGTAAGAACAGAATGTAATTTTTTACAGAAATTTACAGATTTTCAGATAGAGAGAAGTAAAAGCAGAAAATAATTTTTTAAAGAAATTGCACGTACAGATTTTGTTTTTATTTTGTAAGTGGATATTGTTATTTAATATTTGGTAGAGGAAACATTTTCAGGATCAATTTTAAGGGGAAATATGTTACACTGTGGGTTGTTTATAAGTTTTCTCATATATTTTTTGAATGTGGTATGGAATGTACTCACCAGGAAGTATCGCAGGCATGTGTCAAGGTAAGGTATCTCGCGCCCAGGCCGTAAAATGTCCTGAGAACACCTAAGGAATTCCCTAGGGAGTGACCACCTTCCACCCCGATAAGACTTGCGATTTTGCCTTCTCGATGCGCCTCGATAAGACCTGCGATCATAAAAATCTTCCCTCAGTTTTTATATTTTTCATTTTACTTTGAATCGTAAATGTAGCAATTTCGGAAATTTGTTTTTTTGATGTAGAAATTTTGCATTTATTTGCTCTTGCTTTTTCTGGTTTTCGTATTTTTATATTTTCAAGGTTTCAAGTTTTTAAAATTTATATTTATTTATAATTTAAAGGTTTCATATTTTTATTTTTATATTTTTAAATTCTCAAGTTTTTATTTTTATATTTTTAAATTCTCAAGTTTTTATATTTTTATATTGTCAAATTTAGGAATTTTTAATATGCAAGTTTTCAGTTTATTTTGTACATTTCTTTGATTTATTTTGTATATTTTCATATTTTTGAATTTTCGTACTCTCAAGTTTACGAGTTTTTAGGTTATTATATTTTCGATTTTGCAAATTTCAAATTTATGAGGTTTCATTTATTAAAGCTTACATTTTATTTTACGAATTTTTAAGTTTTCAAGTTTTCTAGTCTTTATGCTTTTATATTTTTATATTTTCAAGTTTAAAAATTTTATACTTGCAGTACAAAAGTTCTAGTATTTGCAGATTTGTAATTTTTCAGGTTTTCATACTTGCAAGTAACCAGTTTTCAAATTTAGGAATTTAATGGTAGAGAAATGTGGAAAGATTGGTACATATTACATAATTTGACAATTTAAATAGGGAAAAATTTCAAAATTTTTGCAATTTTCAATTTTTGATGCTGAGTTTTCAATTTCTGACTTTAAAAAATTAGAAAATTAAGAAATAAGAAATTAGGAAACAGGGAATTAGGAAATTAGGAAATTAGGAAATTAGGAAATTAGGAAATCAGGAAATTAGGAAATTAGAAAATACGAAATTAGGAGATTAGGAGATTAGGAGATTGGGAAATTGGGGAATTGGGCAATTAGGGAATTGGAAAATTGGGAAATTGGGAAATTGGGAAATTGGGAAATTAGGGAATTGGGAAATTAGGGAATTAGGAAATCAGGAAACTAGGAAATTAGGAAATTAGGAAATTAGGAAATACGAAATTAGGAGATTAGGAGATTAGGAGATTAGGAGATTAGGAGATTAGGAGATTAGGAGATTAGGAGATTGGGAGATTAGGAGATTAAGAGATTGGGAAATTGGGGAATTGGGCAATCAGGGAATTGGAAAATTGGGAAATTGGGAAATTGAGAAATTGGGAAATTAGGGAATTAGGGAATTAGGAAATCAGGAAACTAGGAAATTAGGAAATTAGAAAATTGAAGAAATGAAGAATTGAAGAATTGAAAAATGATGAAAGTGGAAAGAAATGAAGAAATTAAACCACTAAAAAATTGGTAAACTCGAAAATCAAAAAATTAGAATATTGCAAAATTACAAAATTACCAAATAACAAAACTAGAAAACCATCAAATGCAAAGGTAGAGAATTTTGAAGTCCCTAGAGATAAAAACCTTTAATCAAAAAATCCAAAACCTGTCCATCGATCATTGCTATTACAAATGCAGCAACCATCCTAGCCAGAAACCCCAATCACCAATCCCTACCTCTCACCCGTTCCACCATCACAAATTTCGTCGCAACACAACAAAGGACACATTACGTAAAGGTACAAGCAGAGGTGTCTTATTTGTTTTCGCACAGATAGAAAATTCGGGTTACAGGGGTTAACCTTTGTTTCCTGCACCCTTTCCTTCCACGACCTCGATTCGGTTTCCCACTTGGCGGAGTTTCTCGAGCTTATGAAAATGGCTGACAGCTTTCTGGAGCGGGTTACTCGTCGTGAGAAGTTTTACAACAAGGCGTTTGCTATACTTGCCGGTGCTCTCGCGCGAGTCCTTAGGCTGTCGCGCTCGCCCCCGTGTCCTCCTCTCATTTTTCTGCAACGACGTGTGCATAATGCGATCTTTGCTTCGCGTTTGTTGCATCGTGAATACTCCTTGAAATTCCGCACGAAACTTTCGCCACGATTATCCGTATATTTCGTCCTTTTGCGGATAAACCAGATAAAAGACGATCGCGGTGTTTGGCTTACCCTCAACGTCACCGTGCTACCCTTTCTCGTACTCTTTCACTACCCTTCTTTATTCGGAAAATACTTCTCGTATCGTCTTTACTGTTAGTTTTTAGATTTTTATTTAACGGTGTACATTGTTGTTGTTTATATTTTATTTAATGGTAATTTATTGTTATTTCTGCAACCTTTTCTGGTACTCTTTCACTACCCTTAAATTAAATACGTTTAAAGTATGTTTCTTATCGCTGTCAGTGTTACTTTCTGAATTTTTGTTTAACGATTGTTATTTTTCAGATTTTACTTAACTAATTATTGCTTTACTTAACAATAATTATTGTAATTTTGTAAATTTTATTTGACGATATTTATTCATTCTTTAACGGCATTTTTGTGATTCCAAGGTTTTTGCGAGTTTACAATTAGATGTAAACTCAATGTGTTCAGCGTTCTTCAATGTGTCTAGTGATTTAGGAGTTTTTGGAGATTCAGTGTAGTTCAGCATTTTCTAATGGTATTTGTTGGTTTCTAGCAATTTTCAGCTGTTTCGAATGGATTTTAGTAATTTTTAGTCATTTCTAATGACTTTTAGTGATTTCAAGAGGTTTTCAATGATTTTTAGGGTTCTTCTAGTACATTTTTAGTGTTCTTCAGTGGATTCTATTTTTTTCTACTATTGCATAGTGTTTTGTAAGAACCCAGTGTGGGATTTGAAGAATTTGGGAAGTTGAAAATTTTGTTAATTACAAACATAAGAATTTAGAAATGTAGGAAATAGGAAATTTAGGAATTTGAAATTATGGTAAATAAGAAATTTAGGAATTTGGGATTGTGGGAAATGAGAACTGTAGAAATTTGGAATTGTGAGAAATGAGAACTGTAGAAATATGGAATTGTGGAAAATTGGAAATTCTAGAATTGGGAAATGTGAGAAATTAGAAACTTAGGAATTTGGAACTGTGAGAAATTAGAAATTCAGGAATTTGGAATTATGGGAAATGAGAAATATACAAATTTGGAATTGTGGAAAATTGAAAATTTGGGAACTTGCAATTGCGGGACATTGGAAACTTGGGAACTTGGAATTGTGGGAAATTGGAATTTCAGGAACTTGGAATTGTGGGAAATTGGAAATGTAGGAACTTGTAATTCTGGGAAATTGTGAATTTTGGAATTTTGGAACTTTGGAATTTTGGAATTTTGGAATTTTGGGTATTAGGAAATCTAGAAATTGGGAAATTTCGGATTTGTGAAATTTGGGGATAGGGATATTTGGAGCTAGGAAAATTTGGGGGTTAGGATATTTGGAACTAGGGATATTTGGAACTGCAGAAATTTTGAACTAGGGAAATTCCGAAGTAGAGAAATTTAGAACTAGGGAAATTTGGGGCTAGGAATACTTGGAAATAGGGAAATTTGGGGCTAGGAATATTTGGAAATAGGGAAATGTGGGGCTAGGAATATTTGGAACTAGGGATAGTTGGAATTGGAGAAATTTTGAACTAGGGAAATTCCGAAGTAGAGAAATTTAGAACTAGGGAAATTTGGGGCTAGGAATACTTGGAAATAGGGAAATGTGGGGCTAGGAATATTTGGAACTAGGAATATTTGGGACTAGGCAATTTAGAATCTAGGGAATTTGAGACTAGGCAATTTAGAATCTAGGGAGATTTGGTACTAGGAAAATTTGGGAAGTGGAAAATTGAGTGATTTGAAAATTGGAAAATTTGCGAATTTTTTTATTTGGTACCTAATAAATTACAATTTGAGACCTTTTAATTTTACGGAAAAAAAATTCTGAAAATTTTTAGTGGTAGATGGCCAGGAACTGTATACTGAATAAAATATCCTTTGCAAAGACACACACAAGTTCGAAGACAAAAGCAATGGATGGAGTGTTAATCGGACGCAGGATTTTCCCGAACGCGAGATTACTCCGACAAGGAAAGTTTGGAGATTTTTCAATGCGAGAAGAAGAGAGAGGTTTGAAACAGAAACGAAGGAGTGTATAAACCCGAGGAAAAGTTGTAAAAGTTTCGGCGACAAGTAACCCGTGTCGGGAAGACTGTCAGCCATTTTCATAAGCTGAAGAAACTCTGGCAACTAGGAAACCGAATTGAGGTCGCGAAAGGAAGTCAGGAGAGAAAGGACTTTTCGGTTGTTTTTCGAGCCTCTGTATGTGCACTTAGGTGAATTCTGTATGAGCGAGACGGGGAAAATCTTACGATGGATACTTGAAAGAAACATGGAATTAAATGGAACGAATGGTTGCTCGGAACATTTTCGGGCATTAAACTTTCATGGTGAAAAAGGCGGGGGAAATTGGGACGAAAATGGTATCGATAAGTTATTGGGGTTAAATGAGATTTGCTCGGGTTTTTGGGACTGTGTTAGTTCTAAGGGGGGCTATATGAACAATTCTTCATTGGTAACATAATACTGTATATTCGTTTCCCCTGATTTTAATGGTACAATTAATTACCTTTCATCATTAATTTTTAAAACGTCAAAACGTTTTAATCGTCTGTGATCCAAAGGTGTGTTGCACTTAGTTTTAGCAGAAACCACTTCAGAAAGTATTTTAGAGTACTTTTCTTGAGAAAAATAAAAACAATTGTCTTCTCGTTTACCCGCAATTAATGCATTTAACTTTTCAAGAAAAAGATCACGATTTACTGCAGTATCCATTCAGTATAAATTACGGTATTGGAAAGAAAAATTAAGAAAACGTTGCTCGCATCATCAAAGCTTGCATAAGATTGACAAAGCTGACTGACTCCCAGCAAAACACAGGATTTGGCGGGAGAGAGCCAGTCGCTTCTTTGTCGGCTCCTCTCTTTTGGACCTCCACCAGAGCATATCTGTGATTGTCGACATACACCGGTGAAGGTCCGAATGTACAAGAATGTAATAAAATATTCGATCTTTCACCGACGTATTTGGTATGTGTTGACATTCACCGGTGAAAGTCGACATTCTCCAATTTCGGTCTTTCACGGTAACATAGTCATAAAAGTGAAATTAATGTGGTTTTAATCCAATGGCCATAGACTGCACAACAAAAATACCTCCACCAAAATTGTCCATCGCAAGCTATGTTTTGACCTAACAGAACAAAAGAGAATGGAAATTATTAATGTGAATGTGTAGGTAAGAGCGAAAAGAGAGTAACAAATCAGATTTTCAAGTTTTAAACGTCCTCCTATTCGTTCCGTTGGTAATTAGATTGCTAGGATCGCGTACCAACTGCGAGTAACAATGGATGCAACAGGAATGGCAGAACCTGGCAGGAAGTTTGCTCTCCAGGAAACTCGAGAGGACAAAGGAGACTAGTATTAATTGCTCGATTTCTCTGAAGCAGTATCATTCAAGAGGAAAGTAATTATTGGTTCCAACTTGGTAACACCGTTTCACGCTGTCGTAGCCTTACCGACCACCGAGAAAAATGTTTACTTATCGACGACAGTTTCATCGATTAAATTCTACTTACGCAAATCCTGTGACAAACTTACTACTGTGTTTTCATTTGTCTGGTTAATTCTTTTGGGAAATTTCTTGAGGAAATATTGTAAATTGGGGGAATGGGAAAATTGGGAAATTGGGAAGTTGGAAAATTGGAAAACTGGGTAATTGCAAAATTGTGATATTTTTCAAGGAATGATTGGAAAATGGGGAATTGTGGGAAATTGGAAATTCAGGAATTTGGAATTGTGGAAAATTGGAGATTTTAATCTTTGGAAATATAGGAATTTGGAATCGTGGAAAATTGGAGATTTTAGAATTTGGAAAAATGGAAAATTGGAAATTTGGGAATTTGGAATTGTGGGTAATTGGAAATGTGGTAATTTGGAATTGTGGAAAATTGGAAATTTAGGAACTTGGAATTGTGGAAAATTGGAGATTTTAGACTTTGGAAATATAGGAATTTGGAATCGTCGAAAATTGGAGATTTTAGAATTTGGAAAAATGGAAAATTGGAAATTTGGGAATTTGGAATTGTGGATAATGGGAAATGTGGTAATTTGGAATTGTGGGAAATTGGAAATTTAGGAACTTGGAATTGTGGAAAATTGGAGATTTTAGACTTTGGAAATATAGGAATTTGGAATCGTCGAAAATTGGAGATTTTAGAATTTGGAAAAATGGAAAATTGGAAATTTGGGAATTTGGAATTGTGGGTAATTGGAAATGTGGTAATTTGGAATTGTGGAAAATTGGAAATTTAAGAACTTGGAATTGTGGGAAATGGGAAATTTTTAAATTTGTAAAAATGGAAAATGGGGAATTGGGAAAATTAGAGAATTATTGAACTAGAAATCTTGTATAGATGCAAACTAAAAAATTACAAAGTGTAAACTTGGAAAGCTAGAAACCTACAAAACCAGAAATCCCAACAATCAACAAAAGAGCACAAAATAAAAACACAATAAAAATCCAAAATAATTGCAACAAAACAACAATTTATTTTCCTGTCCGGTATCATCCAATACAATCTAAACATGTACCGTAATTGTTTCAATAACTCAATTCGCCCACTTTTCACTGCAATATTTCAATTAATTCCTCATACATCGTTACAATAAATTTGATTAACAACACTCAAAGCGGTGATATCGCGCTCGGTAAAAGAAGCAACAACAATGGAGTTTCATTTCATGATGCAATTTCTGCTCCTGTGAAATTCAGGATTATAAATCGCGGACCATACCGTTTTGAAATCCGTGGTAATGCGTTGTTCTTTCTCAGAACGTAAGTCTTCGTCGTTTTTCTGTTTTCCCGGTATCATCAGGTACATTTTTTATTTCTATAGCAACCACGGGGAACCGTGTCTGATAAATATTGCCTCGACCATTACATGTATCTTGATCTCCCGTGTTGCGATCTTCTTCACGACGTTTCCTCCTTCTTTTTCTCCGTCTCTTACTTTTTCTTTTTGTTGGCATAACCTTTTCGGCTGTATTTTATATTTTTACACTTTGCGCAATTTAAGTTCGAACGTTAATGCATTATGAGCTCACTTCGATTTTTTCTGCTTTTGTAACATTAGGTTTGGAGTTAACAGACATTTAGTGTTAACGGACATTTCTTATATACCTATCTCTACACGCGTCAATTTGACGCACGAACGAATATATTTAAAGAAAAACAACTAGAAAGCAATATAATTAAACACTGCAAGTAAGAAATGAAAATAGGATATATATTCATAGAAAGTTTTTATTATTCGATAATATTTTAGTACACTACTTCAATATTCTACATTCATATTTTTACTTCCCTCTACCCTGCGAACTGCGATTTGTACTGCGACCCCGGGTCCGATCCCGGCATACCGGCTGAGCCGGCCGCGTACGACCCGGACTAGCGAAGTCCGTCGTTTATAAGGTATCGTCGGTGCATTCATATTTATTATTGTTGTAATTTTCGCCTGGGTAAAACTAATTTACTAAAAATTTTATTTACATTACGATCGCGTGAAATTGACGCACATCCGTAGAGATAGGTATACC